TTTTCGATATTCTTCCATATGAGCGAGATTCATTATAGCATTGTGTCTGTAAGGAATAGGTTCAAACTTCCAACCTGCTAACATTCTGGGCTAGGCAAAAGAGAGCGAGTAAATTAAACGAACGGACTTATGTCGTCATCATATCGCGGTAGCCTGCTGCAGATGGTAATCAAATCAATCATACCTTCGCCGTAACGCTTGCAAATTCAGACTAATTTCACAGGACTGGGGAACACAAAGATACAAATGTAAAGTAGTGGCAAGTGGCGCTGTTTATCACGTAAACTGTCGTGGATTTAATCCCATCCGGATCCCACCCAGGTCAAGCGAGCCTTCCATTTTTCCGAGATACCCGATCCGAGATAATTGATAATTATCCAGCCTACTGCGAAAAAGAAGCGCTGTTCTCACATCGACCGGAGATCGCATGTCATTGCTTAGGCAAAATCGCATACAAATATCAGATCTAACTTGGGCTGAGTGGGTGATGTGTCTAACAAAGCATCAATCATTATGCACTTATCCCTTGAAGTGAATACAGACAAAAATTCTCTTCAAGAGTACGAAAACTCACTTTTCAGCGAGCGCGCGCTGTAAACTAAGATCATAATCGTATAGCTCATGACAGGCAGCAATGTGCTCATTATAAAGCTGCTCGGATGCCTCATCGCCAACAATTGGATCAGCTGGCTGAAATGATTTCGTTAATTAAGTTGCAGACATCTAGATAGATCTTTGAAGCCATCAAGAGTTGCGACAAATCCCATACGCATCGCCAACTCACCCGCAATGAATGGTCTATGTAGTCAAGTACATTCGCAGGCATCTCCACAGGCCGTGAAACAGGCCCTAGTCGTTCACTTGAGGATTCCTTTCGATAAGTGATTTCAGAGTGAGACCGACAGTTCCTCATATTTGGACTAAGTATTTCGTCTTTCTTGAATGCAGGCGCAACGACTACATCACTTGCGCCCTGCTGGAACCAAATTACTCATTAAATCTGCTCCAGAGGTAACTACTTACTAATAAACCGTACAAGTTTTATCAATGTTGATTGATCCGAGCGTCCCCTTCGATGTTTTTGGAAAAGCGGGGTGTTCTGTAAAACAACTTCGATGAAAAATCTTCCCACCTCTAACTGCAAGGTGAAAGGTAGTAATCATCACAACATCATACCGCTTTAGGCTGAGGTGTAACTGCTGGTTCATTCGTGCTCGTGTCGATAAGAGGGTCATCGCCTTTTGGATATTCCTTCAAAAAGTCAAGCACAGATGAAATCATTATTTTATATTACGAAAAGAGCACTGATCAATCATGAGCCAATACCAAGTCGCTTTTTTCAACAAACAAAATCGACTTTGCTAGATTAAGGCTTTTCCATTGACGATGGAAACGAACAAATCTCTTAATGAATTCTCAACCTACCTTTTTCAGAACGGAAAAGTATTTCATTAGATCTTCGCTGGTTGGTCTCTGGTCTGGATCGTCATGCCAACATCTAGGAGGAAAATAGTAGTTCCCGTTGAAATATCGAGCAAACAAGGCATCCCAACACACAGAAATACGAGAGAGGATTAGCGTAATTTCAGATAGAACTCTTAATGGATTTAGAAGAGACTTGAAGAAAAAATGCACCGAGTAAGCGTGTTAAAATAGACGTAGAGGAAATGAAGACACTACACGAGTGCAGATATTCAAGGTTTTCATGCTCGCAAGAAAACTAGGTAGTCTCGGAGACGTATGCTATCGTCAAACTTACTTTTCATAAAAACGCGACAGGAGCTCGTGGCATGAAAGTTTCGGTGGCCGCAAGTTCTTCGCCACAATATTCCAATAAATAACATATGCATCATGTGGATGTGACGCCAAATACGGTGACTCACTAGAACATTCCAATTTCGATTCTTTTTAGAGAACTCCAATTCTAGCTCTAATCGCACTTCGCTACGCAATCAATCAACAGTGCAATAGGTGCAGTGGCGATTATGCCCGCAACATAAGACTTCCAAGGTGCTCTAAATATTTCATGAATGGAATAGAAAGAAGTTTGTGTTCAATAATATGTTCTTGAAGCTCTTGGTCTTATATTTATTGGTGAGCTTTCGGCAATAATGCCATCATCAGACCAACCTTAAAATTACAATAATTACAAATCAACACAAAGAACATGCTGCATCGATACATATTAGAAAGGAGACAGAAGAAGGCGGCCT